TACCACGAGCCCATGATCCCCAATTAAGATGCCACCAACCTCCTGTGTTGGGATGGTCTGTAGAGTTCAGCCTGTTGGACCAAATTGGTGCTGTACTGACCTCCTTTTCCTCATTCTACTAACTCACCTCATGCTTGTTGGGATTGTCCAGGAGACCAAGAAGATCTCTATTTTTTATCCGTCTCTCTCTCGCTCTCTCCTTTCTCTCTCTAGCTCCCTCTCTTTCTGGCATTTCCCACTTCCTCAGCTCACTTCAGCAGGAATTGCTGAAGATTTTACACCCAATTGGGTGAAGCAGAGGCGTTTGTTGCCACCGTCGTCGCTCCACAAGTGGCAGAGGGGACTCGGGCTGCTGAATGGCGCTTTGTGTATTCCTAAGAGGGGCCTTCGCTCTCCCTCTCATCTGTCACAGACAGGTCCCTCTGTCTCCATGCTCCACAATGGCCAATTGTTTCTCCAGAATAGCCAGGTTTCCAGGTTCCAGGAGAGAAGTAGTGAATGATGAACTCCTGCCAAATTCCGACCCCCTTTTTCTTTCACTTGAGCTCACAAAGGGATTATAAATTACCCTGGACTTTTTGGGGGAGTTAAAATGCTCCCCTGTCCTTCTCCTCCAGCAAACAATGTCCATTGATATTGGTTGGGGGAGAGGGTTTTTGGAACTACATCACCCAAAAGGCTTTTAGACATTTTCTATGGCGAGTCGGAAAAAACTACATTGACCAGAAGCACCCCAAATGTAGAACCGTGAGAAGACAATATGCCCCCTTGGCCTCATTGTGGAAAGAAAACTTTGACTACATGCAGCTGTTTTGTATCCAGCAATGAAATTAGATTGTTTTGATGCAGCTCCTTGTTTTAGTGGAATATCAGCAGTCCTTTTTCTTAACATTTGACTCTGTCTCACAGTGTCTGGTCTGTTTGCTTATCAATCTTGTAATCTCTTGTGTAATGGAGATACAATGCATTTGATACGTTGGCTCGACTTTCCAAGAAACTTCCTAGACTTAAAGGGAAGCAATTTGTTCCAATACTCTAATAATGTATCAACTGGAAACGTGCGGTGGTCATTCGGGGATGTTGGCCTAGGTTGGCCTAGTCGGTAATCATGTGAAAAAGATGAATAGAGTGTTTTGTTTGGACCACTGTCTAATCATGGTCTCATCAGTCCCTCCAGGAAGCCATACTCATTATTTTGTTGGGCTCCCGGCGGGAATGATTTCTACTTCAGGGAAAATGTCTACCGCCGCCTCGACTGTAATCACTCAATTTCTACTTTCCTCTCCTGAGGCATCCTCCAGGCAAACTGTAGTAATATTTAGTTTACAGTGAAGTAATGGCTGACGTCTCCAGGTGTTTCTCAGTCTCTTTCTATCTGTGTGCCTCATCAGATGTGTATCAACAGCCGTTTCACCAAGCTAAGTGGAGTAGAGGTGTGTGTAGATGGGAGTTTACTTCATTCATGGTCCTTTGTGGCCAGATCTAGATACTGTGTAGAACTATTGATGTCCTGGTCATCTTTCATCACATATCATCTGCAATTGTTATAGCTAGGTGACCTTAGTGTCCATTTGAAGACTAAACAGCAATGCATTGTTGATATTGTAGTATATTTTGCCACTATTGCCTCACTCAATCATACTGGACCAGATATTGCCATTGAAATTTATATTTTCTGTGATTGGGTCTGGCTAATTCTAACTAATCACATGCAGTCTGTTGGTCTCGCTAACGCTAACAAACAGCTCGGGGTCTGTTGCGTGATGAAACTTGATCAGTGGTAGCGATTTATGAGGTCCAGGCATTCCGGGCCATATGAGATCTCAGTTTCTAAGAAGCTAGCTAACTCTTAAGCCCCCATAAACAGGCAGCAATATTGTCAGCTAAATATATCCCCCCTTCTTTCTTCTCTTCTTTTTCCTCCACCCCTCCGCTTCCCCCATTCCCCCCTTCTTCGTCTTTCTCCTGGGGGGTGTGGTGGTGAGATTGTGACTGTTGGGTCAAGGAAGGCTTAGTTTCGCAACGCGCTTATCTATTTGCGAATTATGATTGTTGTCTGTAGTCAGTAGCCATATGGGTCTATATGTGAACTCTTCTAGTATGACTGTCTGTCTGTCTCTTTCTGCCATCTCTATTCTGCTAAGCAGGGGGCATGAACGTTCATATAGCTAACTCTGACTGGTGGGCCAGACTATCTGGCTCCTTGCATGAAGGATTGTGATTTTGTATGGAATGGCATTGGGAGTTGGCACACAGTTTTTTGTTTTTGTTTGTGTACAGTTTGTGTGCTAGTCTATGGGCCTAGGTTCGGTGCATATTCCATATCAGTTACTTACTAACCTTTGCCTGCTCATATATTTTTTTACATCACATGATACACACCAGATGATGTCATCAGTTTCTCCGGATGATGTCATCAGAAACACTTATCTTTTTCTATCTCTTTGACTACAAAACATAGAAACCCGCCATTTTCACGTATGTTGACATTGCGGTGGTGCTGGAGATGATGAATTTGATGTTGAAAAAGGGTGCATTTTCCATTTAAAGGAAAACTCCACCCAAAAACTAGCTTTTGATATTTGTTTCATTAGTCCATTGTTGATATAGTCACAAAATGTTTTCCATGTCGCCAATCAAGTTTTCAAGATATAGAACTTTCATAATACAGAAATACAGCCGGTAGGGTCAGAACTGGTGTCAGATGTCATCTATGCAAGGACGGCCATATGACATTATGCAAGGGACCTCTTCTGTCCAAGTTTGGCTTTTAATCATTTCACACCCTTTGAACACAGACACATGTGTAAGCATACACGTACACACAAACACACACGGAAGCACACACACATGTGTGCACACGTACACACACACACACACACACACACACACACACACACACACGTGCACAAACACAAGTACACACGCACACGCACACACTGCTAGTGCTGACCCTGTCCCCGCTCCCCAGGTTTCCTTTCAGCACTTATGATGTATAATGTTCTCCAGTTGAGAGTTACAGACCCCCCACCTCTGATCCACTGTATATGCTCCTATCAAATCACTGTGGACACCTGCTACTGTGGGAGTCACTCTCAATTCCCCCTCCCCCCTATTTTTTTCTCTTTCTCTAACTCGCTTCTTTCACTCCCTTTCCTTCCCATTTAATCACATTCTCTCGCTAGCTTTCTTTCTCAACTTCTCTCTCTCTCTCTCTCTCTCTCTCCCTGTCTTAGATAGTTGAGTAATGGTTAGATTTACGTGTTAGGGGGCCCAGGAGATGGAATACTTCAGAGATAAACTATCCTGCGTGATTTATGGAGTGCTAATACTGAAGTGGCGATCAATTTTACTTTTTAGAAACTGAGGTTGGTTCTCGTTGGCGTAAAACACAACTCTCATGTTCCCACCTTTTAATCCCATTTGAGTTCTGATTCTCCAAACTTTTCCTCAAGTGTGCACTTGTATACTCTCTGTCATTGATTTAATATCATAGGATCGATGTAACCATTATACCATTGTCAAATTCATGACAGGAAGTTTGCAAGTGTACACTTTGGGAGAAGTGGAGAATAAGCATGCAGCTTTTGTATTGGCAATGAACACTATACAATATGGAGTTTTGAGGGGTTTTGTGTGTAAAGTAATTGCAGCAAATTATTTATTGACATGGTAAGGTCAGTTGGAGGAAGTACAGGTTTACACAGAAACCCACTTGAATCAAGCCCAATGTATTTTCACTGCTGCAAGGTGATTCGTGATCTACAAGTGATACAGATGTAGGATCTTAATTTGATCGCTCTTTTGTTGCTAAGACTTTTCCTGCACCACAGGAAATGCAGATGAGCTTTGTAATTTACATAAATACTGAAGACGTGCACTAACACATGATATTAACAGTATTGCACTTTTCATGTAGCCTACTTTTGCCCAGCTAATAGCCTAACCACCGATCAAGCAACATTATGGACTAAATGTTCAAATCCTGTTGCTGCAGTATTATTTTACTTGGCTCAACGTGCTCTAGCGACTTCTTGTGGAGGGCTGGGCGTCTGCCGGCTGTTGGGTGGTGTTTCCTCCGACACATTGGTGCAGCTGGCTTCCGGGTTAAGCGGGCGGGTGTTAAGAAGCGCGGTTTGGCGGGTCATGTTTCGGAGGACGCATGGCTCGACCTTCGCCGAGCCCGTTGGGGAGTTGCAGCGATGAGACAAGATCGCAATTGGATATCACAACAAAAAAAACGACATTAAAGACAGGCACTGGAGAAGGTTTGCAGTGTAGGCTTGCTTGTCTTCCTAATGATTGACCTCAATACTCGACTTCTAGGAATCAGTAGGTGATGGAATCACACCACTGATAAACACCCAAACTCTGATGTGGGTTTTTTAACTCCATGCCATCTGCCAACGGCAACATAAGCTTAATCAAAGCAAACTTTATTTATAGAGCAACATTTGTTACAGGGGAGGCATTTCAAAGTGCTTAACAAATAAAACAAAACAAGGGGAGGAAAATAAAAACAAGGAAGTCTTCCTGTAGTTCACCATTCCTCCATCACACTTCTATCCATCAGTGTGATTGTAATGTAGAAGAAAAGGTATTTTGTACACACACGTGTGTGTACGTGTGTGTATGTGTGTACGTAAGTGTGTGTGTGTGTGTGTGTGCTCGCCTGTACATGGACATGTTTAACTATACTTGAAGACCAGAAGTCCCCACAAGAATAGTAAACAAACAGAAATTTGACCAACTGGGGGCATTTTGTCGGTCCCCACAAGGAACAAATATATTGTGTTAGGGAAAATAGGATTTTGAATGGGAATCAATTGTGTGTCCCCACAAGGTTAGTTAAACAAGACTGTGTGTGTGTGTTTTCTTGTCTTTTTCTTGCAGTGTGAGAGCATTCTACAGTATCATCCCACCATCTAATCCTGCTAGTCAGTGTTATGGGGTGTTTCGTGGTTTTTCCCCAACAGGTGCATAACAGAATGGATACAGATATGAATGAACGTCGAAGAAAGTCATACATTTTTTTATCGTTTCCTTATAGAATGATGTCTTCCAAGCAAGTCACACCTCCGTTTCCCCCAGCGACAGAGGAAGAGGATGCAATGGGTGAGGACAATGTGGGCTGGGCAAATGAGGACAGAGAAAGCCAGGACCAGCCGTCCATGCCCGCTCTGCACGGCAAACCCCTCCCAGAGGAGTACCAGCCAATCAGAGACAGCCAGCCTGAGTCAGTATGGGAGAGAATAGGCTCTACTCAGACGGTGAGACACACGGACTCACACACACACACACACACTTCATCAGATTGACACTGTCACTGATCCCCATTACAGAGGAATCTTCCTCTTTAAGACAAATGCCTCTTGGAACAGTTTCAAGGACGTCTTTAGATGTCTCTGTTAGCCAAAGCCCCTTGTGTTTGTAACATAAGCCATCTCAAGTTCTTGGAGATCCCCCCCACTCTGTAAGAGGAGGAGACAACATTCAGAAATAAAAAACCTCTGGTCAGGCCACCTGTGCTAGAGTGTGTGCTGAGGGACAATGTCGGTTCACTATTCAAAACAGTTTGTCTGCGTCCCAAATGACACCTTATTCTCTATATAGTGCACTACTGTCCTCAAATTGAATACATTTTGATTTGATTTGATTTTTGACAACGGCCCATAGGGCTCTGGTAAAAAGTAGTGGATTATATGGAATAGGGTGCCATTTGGGACACATTCTATCACTGTGCTACAGTATTACTTGCCCATGAATGCCCTTTGACCTATGATGTCATAAGTATACAGATGTAGGATTTTAATTGGATCTCCCTGTTTCAGGAGAACGTTCCTGCAATGCAGGAAATGTAAATCTTGTAGTATATTTGAGGTTTAAAAAGGCTTCTGAAGTTTGTCATTTCCACTTTGAAATTTCAGACTTTGATTTTCTCTTATGAAAAATGATTCAACCCCTTACAATAATGTCCATTAATTACAATCCACATAATAATTAACATTTCCTGTAGCTGCGGGATTATTTTCCTGCCATAGCAAACTGGCTCAAATTAAGATCCTACATCTGTAGCACCTAACTTCATAATAATAGCTAAAAGACTACAAATAAATGTAGTTCTGGACTGAGAGACTGTTAGCACAAGGCAGATATGTTAGCTGATGGAAGGAAGATGTAAGTTGCCTTTATTTAATGTCACAAAAAGTCCTACAAAAAACATGGCTCATTCACTCGCCCCAAATGGCCATAGTCAGTCCTGTGGGATTTTGCTTTGCTGTACGGTCAGAGTTGGCTCTTTTTAACCTGAAAAGCACAGCTATCTCCATGCATGACAGGTGTGTACCTCTTACCCTTGCCCCACAGGCTATGACCTGTGGCATTCTTCTGTATTGAGTTTAATTTGTCGATCACAAGATGGAGGGAGTGGATATCTGTAACCGTGTTCTTGGTACAGGCCCAAAAGGGGACTGCCTTTGTAGCAAAACCCATGAGTTATGGACTTGTCCCAAATTGCACCGTATTCCCTATATAGTGCACTACTTTTGACTAAAGGCCCTATGGGTAGTGCACTACATAGGGAAAAGGAAGCCATTTGGGATGCAGATATCAACTTGGCCTTTCCCCACTGCCGTGCCAAGGTGTCATACTCTGGCTGCCAATACAGGAGTCTAGATTCTGCTGTAAGATGATTTAAACAACAACACCCACAGCAGCAACAACCACAAACATTAGTCAATAGAGAGGTGGTGAAAAGTAAAAAGTAAAAAGCAGTTATAGAAATAGGGATTGTAGTTGAAGATACACTTTACTTTGTGGTGAGTTAGTTATTAGTTGACGTAATGTCCAGTAATAATTAGTTGAAGTAATGGCCATAAAAGCTAAAAAAAAAAAAAAAAAAGTCATAGTAATTCCAAACCCCCCTGTTGTATTTGTTCCTACAGGACAATAGTAGCAGCAAGGGCTGTTCCTTGTACTCCTACCGGAATAACTCTCCACCAAAGCCTGAGGAGTGTTCCCGGGAGCGGGGCGAGCAGCTAGGCGGATCTGCCTTTGGAACACCGGAGCGCCGCAAAGGAAGCCTGGCCGACGTGGTGGACACACTGAAACAGAAGAAACTGGTGGAGCTGACAAAGACAGAGCAGGACGGTAGGAGAAGGCCTATACCCCCTGTGTGTGTACGTGTGTGTGCTCGCCTGTACATGGACATGTTTAACTATACTTGAAGACCAGAAGTCCCCACAAGAATAGTAAGCAAACAAAAATTTCACCAATTGGGGACATTTTGTCGGTCCCCACAAGGAAAAAAGGTATTGTGTTAGGGTTAGAATGTTATGCTTAGAATTAGGGTTAGGTTTAGGGTTTTAAAGGTTAGGGTTAGGAGTTAGGTTTAGGGTTAGGGTTAGGGTTAAGGTTAGGTTTTGGGGTAAGGGTTAGGGTTAGAGTTAGGTTAGCGGTTAGGGAAAATAGGATTTTGAATGGGAATCAATTGTGTGTCCCACAAAGTTAGTTAAACAAGACTGTGTGTGTGCAAGCTCTCCTGTATCAAATCAAATCAAATTGTATTGGTCACATACATGTGTTTAGCAGATGTTATTGCGGGTGTAGCAAAATTATTGTGTTTCTAGCTCCGACAGTGCAGTAATATCTAACAATTTCACAACATATATCCAATACACACAAATCTATAAAGCAATGGAATTAAGAATATATAAATATATGGACAAGCAAGCGGCATAGACTAAGATACAGTAGAATAGTATAGAGTACAGTATATACATATGAGATGAGTAATGCAAGATATGTAAACATTATTAAAGTGACTAGTGTTCCATTTATTAAAGTGGCTAGTGAAGGCTATTTAACAGTATGATGGCCTTGAGATACAAGCTGTTTTTCATTCTCTCGGTCCGAGCTTTGATGCACCTGTACTGACCTTGCCTTCTGGATGATAATGGGGTGAACAGGCAGTGGCTCGGGTGCTGTAGGTGTCCTGGAAGGCGGGTAGTTTGCCCCCGGTGATGCATTGGGTAGACCATACCACCATCTGGAGAGCCCTGCGGTTGCGGGCGGTGCAGGTGCCGTACCAGGCGGTGATACAGCCCGACAGGATGCTCTCAACACTGTCTGTGTGGGTGGACCATTTCAGTTTGTCAGTGATGTGTACGCCGAGGAACTTGAAGCTTTCCACCTTCTCCACTGCTGTCCCGTCGATGGTGGATAGGGGGGTACTCCCTCTGCTGTTTCCTGAAGTCCACGATCATCTCCTTTGTTTTGTTGACGTTGAGTGAGAGGTCATTTTCCTGGCACCACACTCCCAGAGCCCTCACCTCCTCCCTGTAGGCTGTCTCGTCATTGTTGGTAATCAAGCCTACTACTGTTTTGTCGTCTGCAAACTTGATGATTGAGTTCGAGGCGTGCTTGGCCACGCAGTCATGGGTGAACAGGTAGTACAGGAGGGGGCTGAGCACGCACCCTTCTGGGGCACCAGTGTTGAGGATCAGCGAAGTGGAGATGTTGTTTCCTACCTTCACCACCTGGGGGCGGCCCGTCAGGAAGTCCAGGACCCAGTTGCACAGGGCGGGGTTCAGACCCAGGGCCCCGAGCTTAATGATGAGCTTGGAGGGTACTATGGTGTTGAATGCTGAGCTATAGTCAATGAACAGCATTCTTACATAGGTATTCCTCTTGTCCAGATGGGATAGGGCAGTGTGCAGTGTGATGGCGATTGCATCGTCTGTGGATCTAAGTGCGTGCTGATGTACATATGTATGCGTACAGCGTGCGTACAGTATGTTTAGCTTTTCCTTTGTGTCTATGTCCTCTTCAGAGGAACTTTGAACCATTCAATTACAAGTGACAGATCCCCCACCCATAGATCATAGATCTGTGAGAAGTGAAATCACTAATTTCCCTTTTCTCCCCCTCAGATCTGGCTCCTCACATCAGGCCAGTGGTTGACTCCCACTGCATGCCCCTGCATGCTCCTGTACCCCACAGCTATGGAGATCTTACATCTCTCTGTACTGCTATGCTACACATGGTAATTGTCGTGATATCAGAGGCCCCACTGATCTATCGTCTTAATGCATCACTTTGTTATTGATATGGTACAGTGTAGAGTAGTGATCTCTAGAGCCAGATAGCCAAAGGCATCACAGCTACATCACAGAATTCACTGTACTGTAGATAGTCTTTGGTTTACTGTGAGTGAGCCACATTCTGTCTGTTTGTGGGTGTGTGTGGGTGTGTGTGTGTGCGTGCGCGTTCAGCATACCATTATATCACTATTGTGTCATCCTCCTGTCTAACAGAAGGGATGTACATCAATGCTAAGGCAGGGAGACAAAGCACACAGAGCTGAGAGTGTCTTGAAGCAGTGTCAGCATTCCCTCATCTGTTTTTTGTCAATTTGTTTGTCTACATTTTTTACTCCCATAAAGGGGATACATTTGACTGACGTGCCCCTCTTGGCCAGGTCTCCCTTGGGTAAGAGGTCTTCTGACCTCACTGTGAATAAGGTTAAATACAGGTTAAATATAGATATTTTTTATAATATAAATAGTATTTAACAGAATTCATAGGTATACAATTATATTAATTCATATCATCAAAACGCTCATATACTGTAACTTCCCAAATTACCCTCTGTTCTGTTCCTATACATGCTTTAATGGCCATGGTGAAATGTACAGTAACGGTACGTTGTTAACAAAAAAAAAAAAATCCACTCCTAATTAGTAGGACTGGAGTCCCCAAGGACCCACCAGTCGCATTGATCGTACTGGGAGCACTTAACCAAAGCAGAAGGAATTAGACAAACCCAAACACTGCAGTGTAGATTAGGATTCATCCATCCATCTATTTTAACCATCCGTCTATTCATCCATCCATTGGCTACAAGTAACATCTCTCCGTTTTTAGCTCCCTATTTGAAGTCTAAGATCATGATGAAATGAATTACAGTTACAGCGATGATTCCTAATTGCACTTTACTCTAACCGTTAGAATTTCAGTCCTTCACTCGTTGTGTATTAAATATTGTTGATGATGCGTTTCATTTACGTTTTTGGCATTTGACCCTGCCCAGTTGGGTTCATTTTATGTCATGTGTTTGGCTTTAAGAGAGCAGGAGATCAGTAAACCACTAAGGCTGAGAGACTTCTACATTCATGCATTGATTGGCTCTGCGAACATCTCTCCACAAATTCGAATGCAGCCATAAACGTATACTGTAGATCCAGATTGATGTGGATTGAAGTGCTGCTACGTCTCTTCACAGAAACCCATCTCTAAAACGACTGTACCTTGTTTCCTTTTTTCTTCCTTTATCTTCCTTTTTCTTTTTTGAAGGGTTCACTTTTTAAGAACACTCGGCATTTCATAATTTTAGGCACCTACGTTTTTGGCATTCTTCTCCCACTCAGAGCGTTTTATCTGACATTTTCTAAATTCTGACCCATTCCCCTTGACCTGTTTTGCGATTATTCGTAAAAAAAATATTAAGGTCATTACTTTTGTAGCTATGCTTCTATTTTGGTTTTAAATTGTTTCGATTTATGAAGAAGTAACATACGCCTTGTTAATTTTGCTATGGACATTGCCTTATTCATACAGGTTTCTAAAGACAGAGAACAAGGGAGTCTTTATAGCTGGGTGTGTAGAGGCATCATTGTAAAAAGGCAGATGTGGTAGGGTAGAGTGGGGTAAGTTGAGCCATCCTTGTTTCTCGGAAACCATAGACAAAAGTAATCATTTGACAAAATATTTAGGAAGAGGTCATTATTTCATGGAGTATGTGAATGGAAGAAACCACATGGAAAAAAGTGGTAAGCAAGTTAGCTCCAAAAAACAGATTTTCACCATGTCAAATGAATATATTGTGTTAGAGGTTTCATGATGCTTGTATCTAATTTAATAATTTAAAGATTTTATACGTCAGTTGGGGTCTCTATAAGCTTCAATATGAGGTCCTAAACCTAGTTTGAAAGTGCATACTTGTAGCTGTGTGGGCTAATATAGTCAAAATGTTTGCCTTGCTGGGTTGCAGGCGTTGGGTCACTTAGCTGGGTTGTTTTCTTTGCTGGGTTATTGATGCTGGGTGTTGGGTTATTGGTGCTTGGTTATTAAGATATGACCCAGCGGGTCAGGTCAGAAGACTGGAGTTGTAGTTTTGTAGGGGCGTGGCTTTCAGATAGTTATTTTTAGCCACCCATTGGAGTATATGCCATTCCTGTTAATCTGTTTAGTTGCATAGTTATCACATATTAAGGTCGAACATTTATATTTTTGTAGCTTCGATGACATATACAGAAATGTATGAATTTTCTAAAAGCCTATGTAAATCCCATTGTTGGGATATAATAAGGTGGTATACCTTATTAGGCAATAAAATGGTATACCTTATTATAATATGTAATAAATAATCTTAATATTATAGAAATTTGAATTTGCAGTATGAAAACTTAACATGATGAACAGGAATGACATTTAATCTCACAGGTGGCCAATAAGATAACTTTAGGATTATGTTCAAAAAGACCCAGCTGCTAGGTCAACCCATTATGAGAGTGAAAAATACCCAACTGAAGGTTAAATTAACCAATGTTTGGGTAATCCCAACAAAACAACATGTTGGGTTATTCATGCAACCCAACTGGCTAGGTCAAAATAACCCAACATGTGTTCTGTCCACTATTTAACCAGCTCTGGGTTACCAAATTATTTTTTGCCAATTGTTTTTTTTTCGTTTGGGGGGAAATTGAGCCAATGGTTGAGCCAATAGCAAGTTGAGCAAATGTAAGTGTTTTCTTCCCAGGCGTAATGCAAGGCATTATCGCTGGAATATGAGGTAACAACAGGGCCTGGCCTATGTTAAAAGTGTTAAAAAAAGTACAAAGTGTTTGTAAGGTGTTAAGCCTGTGTTAAAAGATGATTAAAATGATTAAAAGACAAAAAAGTGATTGCGATTGCGTTGAATTGTGTTTGCGAAATAAAGATAGACATGGTTTTAAAAAGGTCGTTGTAATAGTTAATTCAGTACAGACATTTGTAGGCGGCTTAACTTACCCTGTCCCATGGCTCAACTTACCCCATAAATTGGACAAGCTATATATTCTGATTATTTTTAGGGATACACAACATCCTGAAATATATGTAGTTATCCTTGTTAGAAAGAATACTATATTTCCCTTGACTGACTGATGCTGAATGTAAAAAAGGCTGAACTTACCCCACTCTCACCTAGTGCTGTACCAATTAAACAACTTTTAGCACCACAGAACTGTGTATTACTGGAAGGTTTTCAAATTAAATCAAATCAAATGTTATTTGTCACACGCGCGGAATACAACAGGTGTAGACCTTACCGTGAAATGCTTACTTACAAGCCCTTAACCAACAATGCAGTTCAAGAAATAGAGTCAATAAAATATTTACTAAATAAAATGAAGTACAAAATAAAATATAAAGTAACACAATAAAATTACATAACAATAATGAGGCTATATACAGGGGGTACCAGTACCAAGTCAATGTGCAGGGGTACAGGTTAGTCGAGGTAATTTGTACATGTAGGTAAGGGTAAAGTGACTATGCATAGATAATAAACAGTGAGTAGCAGCAGTAGTGTAAAAACAAAGGGGGGGAGGTCAATGTAAAGGAAGGCGGAGGAGGAAGGAAGGCCCTCAAAATTGTCAAAGACTCCAGCCACCCTAGTCATAGACTGTTCTCTCTGCTACCGCATGGCAAGTGGTACCGGAGTGCCAAGTCTAGGTCCAAAAGACTTCTCAACAGCTTCTACCCCCAAGCCATAAGACTCCTGAACAGCTAACCATGGCTACCCGGACTATTTGCACTGCCCCCCCACCCCATCCTTTTACGCTGCTGCTACTCTGTTAATTATTTATGCATAGTCACTTTAACTCTACCCACATGTACAGTGGGGAAACAAAGTATTTAGTCAGCCACCAATTGTGCAAGTTCTCCCACTTAAAAAGATGAGAGAGGCCTGTAATTTTCATCATAGGTACACGTCAACTATGACAGACAAAATGAGAAAATGTTTTCCAGAAAATCACATTGTAGGATTTTTAATGAATTTATTTGCAAATTATGGTGGAAAATAAGTATTTGGTCAATAACAAAAGTTCCTCAATACTTTGTTATATACCCTTTGTTGGCAATGACACAGGTCAAAACGTTTTCTGTAAGTCTTCACAAGGTTTTCACACACTGTTGCTGGTATTTTGGCCCATTCCTCCATGCAGATCTCCTCTAGAGCAGTGATGTTTTGGGGCTGTCGCTGGGCAACACAGACTTTCAACTCTCTCCAAAGATTTTCTATGGGGTTGAGATCTGGAGACTGGCTAGGCCACTCCAGGACCTTGAAATGCTTCTTACGAAGCCACTCCTTCGTTGCCCGGGCGGTGTGTTTGGGATCATTGTCATGCTGAAAGACCCAGCCACGTTTCATCTTCAATGCCCTTGCTGATGGAAGGAGGTTTTCACTCAAAATCTCACGATACATGGCCCCATTCATTCTTTCCTTTACACGGATCAGTCGTCCTGGTCCCTTTGCAGAAAAACAGCCCCAAAGCATGATGTGTCCACCCCCATGCTTCACAGTAGGTATGGTGTTCTTTGGATGCAACTCAGCATTCTTTGTCCTCCAAACACGACGAGTTGAGTTTTTACCAAAAAGTTCTATTTTGGTTTCATCTGACCATATGACATTCTCCCAATCCTCTTCTGGATCATCCAAATGCACTCTAGCAAACTTCAGATGGGCCTGGACATGTACTGGCTTAAGCAGGGGGACACGTCTGGCACTGCAGGATTTGAGTCCCTGGCGGCGTAGTGTGTTACTGATGGTAGGCTTTGTTACTTTGGTCCCAGCTCTCTGCAGGTCATTCACTAGGTCCCTCCGTGTGGTTCTGGGATTTTTGCTCACCGTTCTTGTGATCATTTTGACCCCACAGGGTGAGATCTTGCGTGGAGCCCCAGATCGAGGGAGATTATCAGTGGTCTTGTATGTCTTCCATTTCCTAATAATTGCTCCCACAGTTGATTTCTTCAAACCTAGCTGCTTACCTATTGCAGATTCAGTCTTCCCAGCCTGGTGCAGGTCTACAATTTTGTTTCTGGTGTCCTTTGACAGCTCTTTAGTCTTGGCCATAGTGGAGTTTGGAGTGTGACTGTTTGAGGTTGTGGACAGGTGTCTTTTATACTGATAACAAGTTCAAACAGGTGCCATTAATACAGGTAACGAGTGGAGGACAGAGGAGCCTCTTAAAGAAGAAGTTACAGGTCTGTGAGAGCCAGAAATCTTGCTTGTTTGTAGGTGACCAAATACTTATTTTCCACCATAATTTGCAAATAAATTCATAAAAAATCCTACAATGTGATTTTCTGGATTTTTTTTCCTCAATTTGACTGTCATAGTTGACGTGTACCTATGATGAAAATTACAGGCCTCTCTCATCTTTTTAAGTGGGAGAACTTGCACAATTGGTGGCTGACTAAATACTTTTTTTCCCCACTGTACATATTACTTCAACTACCTCAACTAGCCGGTGCCCCCGCACATTGACTCTGCACCGGTACCCCCCTGTATATATAGCCTCCCTACTGTTATTTTATTTTACTTCTGCTCTTTTTTTCTCAACACTTTTTTTGTTGTTGTTTTATTTTAAAAAATTTTGTTAAAAATAAATGCACTGTTAGTTAAGGGCTGTAAGTAAGCATTTCACTGTAATGTCTGCACCTGTTGTATTCGGCGCATGTGGCCAATAAAATTTGATTTGATTTGAAATAGTCCGGGTGGCCATTTTAATAATTTTTCAGCAGTCTTATAGCTTGGGGGTAGAAGCTGTTAAGGAGCCTTTTGGACCTAGACTTGGCGCTCCGATACCGCTTGCCATGCGGTAGCAGAGAGAACAGTCTATGACTTGGGTGACTGGAGTCTTTGACCATTTCTTGGGCCTTCCTCTGACACGCCTAGTATATTGGTCCTGGATGGCAGGATGCTTGGCCTCAGTGATGTATTGGGCCGTACGCACTACCCTCTGTAGCACCTTACGGTCGGATGCCAAGCAGTTGCCATACCAGGCGGTGATGCAACCGGTCAGGATGCTCTTGATGGTGCAGCTGTAGAACTTTTTGACGATCTGGGGACCCATGCCAAATCTTTTCAGTCTCCTGAGGGAGAAATTGTGTTGTCATGCCCTCTTCACGACTGTCTTGGTGTGTTTGGACCATGATAGTTTGTTGGTGATGTGGACACCAAGGAACTTGAAACTCTCAACCCGCTCCACTACAGCCCCGTCGATGTTAATGGGGGCCTGTTCGTCCTCCTTTTCCTGTAGTCCTTTTCCTGTCTTGCTCACATTGAGGGAGAGGTTGTTGTCCTGGCATCCCACTGCCAAGTCTCTGACCTCCTCCCTATAGGCTGTCTCATCGTTGTCAGTGATCAGGCCTACCACTGTTGTGTCATCAGCAAACTTAATGATAGTGTTGGAGTCGTGCTTGGCCACGCAGTCGTGGGTGAACAGGGAGTACAGGAGGGGACTAAGCACGCACCCCTGAGGGGCCCCGGTGTTGAGGATCAGTGTGGCAGATGTGTTGTTGCCTACCCTTACCACCTGGGGGCGGCCCGTCAGTAAGTCCAGGATCCAGTTGCAGAGGAAGGTGTTTAGTCCCAGGGTCCTTAGCTTAGTGATGATCTTTGTGGGCATTATGGTGTTGAACGCTGAGCTGTAGTCAATGAACAGCATTCTCACATAGGTGTTCCTTTTGTCCAGTTGGGAAAGGGCAGTGTGGAGTGCGAGTGGCGCAGTGGTCTAAGGCACTGCATCGCATTGCTATCTGTGCCACTAGAGATCCTGGTTCAAATCCAGGCTCTGTCGTAGCCGGCCGCGACCGGGAGACCCGTGAGGCAGCGCACAATTGGCCCAGCGTTGTCCAGGGTAGGGGAGGGAATGTCCGGCAGGAATGTAGCTCAGTTGGTAGAGCGTGGCGTTTGCAACGCCAGGGTTGTGGGTTCGAAAAAAATTAAATAATAATAATAATAATGTATGCACTCACTGACTGTAAGTCGCTTTGGATAAGAGCGTCTGCTAAATGACTAAAATGTAAAATGTAAAAAATTATTGAGATTGCGTCATCTGTGGATCTGCTGGGGCGGTATGTTAATTGAAGTGGGTCTAGGGTTTCCGGGATGATGGTGTTGATGTGAGCCATGACCAGCCTTTCAACACACTTCATGGCTACCAACTTGAGTGCTACGGGGCGGTAGTCATTTAGGCAGGTTACCTTCGCGTTCTTGGGCAAAGGGACTATGATGGTCTGCTTGAAACATGTAGGTATTACAGACTCGGTCAGGGAGAGGTTGAAAATGTCAGTGAAGACACTTGCCAGTTGGTCCACGCATGCTCTGAGTACAGACCCTGGTAATCCGTCTGGCCCCGCGGGCTTGTGAATGTTGACCTGTTTAAAGGTCTTGCTCACATCGGCTATGGAGAGCGTGATCACACAGTCGTCTGGAACAGCTGGTGCTCTCATGCATATTTAAGTGTTGCTTGCCTCGAAGCGAGCATAAAATGCAATTATCTCATCTGGTAGGCTCGCGTCACTAGACAGCTCGTGGCTGGGTTTCCCTTTGTAGTCCGTAATAGTTTGCAAGCCCTGCCACATCTGACGGGCGTCAGAGCCGGTGTAGTAGGATTCAATCTTAGTCCTGTATTGACACTTTGCCTGTTTGATGGTTCGTCTGAAGGCATAGCAGGATTGTCCGGATTAGTGTCCTGCTCCTTGAAAGCGGCAGCTCTAGCCTTTAGCTCGGTGCAGATGTTGCTTGTAATCCATGGCTTCTGGTTGGGATGTGGATGTACGATGCACTTATTGATGAAGCCGGTGACTGAGGTGGTGTTCTCCTCAATGCCATTGGATGAATCACGGAACATATTCCAGTCTGTGCTAGTAAAACAGTCCTGTAGCGTAGCATCCGTGTCATCTGACCACTTTCGTATTGAGCGAGTAACTGGTACTTCCTGCTTTAGTTTTTGCTTGTAAGCAGGAATCAGGAGGATTGAATTATGGTCAGATTTGCCAAATGGAGGGCGAGGGAGAGCTTTGTATGCGTCTCTGTGTGTGGAGTAAAGTTGATCTAGAGTTTTTTTCCCGCTGGTTGCACATGCTGGTAGAAATGAGGTAAAACAGATTTAAGTTTGCCTGCATTAAAGTCCCCGGGCACTAGGAGCACCGCTTCTGTTTTGTGGCATGCATTGCTTTTACAGACTGCATAGAGTGGGTTGGATAATGAGCTACTGCTGCTAGTTAGAGGTCAAATAGGGGATGCTTATATTTGTCCTGTTTCACACATGTACTAGTGTGTAACCTGTACAAGTGTATGCTGTGAAATGTGTTTTTTGCATATCCCACTCTCCCTGATACACCCTCAGAGAGTGGGGTCTGGGCCATTATTGGCAGTGAACCTGGAGCAATTAGGGTTAAGTGCCTTGCTTAAGGGCAGATTGACAGATTTTTCACCTACTAGCCCGTGTTGGACAGAGGAGACTGTGTCCGTTTACCCGATTGTACAGTTGGTTTATGTTTTTTGAGTGAATTATTTTTATCCACAGAACTCGGTGAACAATGTACCCAGCATAAATATCTCCAAGTCTTTATTTATGTTGAAATGCCAGCATTATAAAAAGCACAAGAGACCCATAACTATCAAATTGATCTTAACATTGACAAAAACTCAATTGTTGAACAACAGGTGGGAAAGAGGGTTTGGAATGTAGAAATGTCCCAAGCGTAATAGGAGAAGAATGCAGGGAACGTATGTAAAAGGTGGAGTGGTTCTTCATATAGGTGAAGGATGGGAAAGGAAGAAAATAAAAACTTACTTGAAAGAAACAGAGGAAAGAAATTAACTTACTTGAAAAGAAACTGAAAAGAAACGGACAAACCTACTGTATACATCAAGTTCCAGTCAAGAGAGTTTACATAGTGCTTCAATCCACATGGATCTGGATTCTTCTAGCCTGCCCATATGACTCTCAGCATTTTTGGTGAGGACGCTGTCACCAGGTGAAAATCATATTTGAACATGTCAATGTGCTGCATCTTAAATGGTACCCTATTTCTTATATAGTGCACTATTTTTGACCAGGGCCCAAGTCTGAACAAGTTGGAACCCTCATTAAACCCTCATCTCGTGTCGTTACTGATTATCACGAATAGTATAGCCAAAGCCTCCAGCGGCCCTGGCATCGGTACAGTACCCCCGTGCCAATTTAGTCAGCCATCTAATGTGCCCAGAGCAGCTCTGGCGCCTGGCAAGCACTTGATCTTTCTAATCTACGCTTATACCCTGCCCAGTCTGATTTACTGTACAGAATTATAAACGTTTCTGTCCTCAGTGTGGCTCTGGAGCAGCTCGGCTACTGTGCAGTAGATTCAAAGTATAGTCACTCCTTATACTGCTTCTTAAAAAAATAAAAATAAACACAGGAAGTAGTCCTAGTTTGTATTGGGTTAGCCATCACAATAAATAATTTGAATAAACTATATTTCAGTAAAACAATATGTAGAAAATACTTTTTAAATAAAAATAAAAACTATATTATTTTTACATTTTTTGTAAAATATATTTTTTTAATGCAATGTGGGATCAAGTCCCTTCAAAGCATGTCAGTTTCATACATGACAAAGGGGGTTCGTTGCAGCCTTTAGTTGATGATATGCGGAGTTATGGGGGGTTGACACATGCATCTCTCAGATGTAGCGATGTAGCAAGATAGCTCTCTCATGCCTTGTTTCAATTCTGACTGACACAGTCACACACATGCAGTGCTAGTATGGGCTCTCATTGGCAATGTTCACCGCTGTTTGGACAGAACTTTTGCACGGCATCTCCCAACAAATGTTTTGAAAGACTGATGGCATGGAACACAACAGATTCACAACAGATAGTCTTAGGCTAGAGGCTAAATGATTTATTCATTTCAAAACACACAGAAGAGAGTGAAGTGCAGAGTAGGCTAAACACAGTATTATAACTGGGTGGTTCGAGCCCTGAATGCTGATTGGCTGAAAGCCATGGTATATCAGACCGTATACCACATGTATGACAAAACATTTATTTTTACCGCTGTAATTACGTTGGTAACCAGTTTATAATAGCAATAAGGCACCTTGGGTGTTTGTGGTATATTGCCAATATACCACGGCTAAGGGCTGTATCCAGGCACTTGTGTCTTACGTAAGAACAGCCCTTAGCCATGGGAAGAAGGAAACCTGTACAGAATAAAAATATTGTGAAACAACAAGACAGTAAAGTAATACTGCAAAAAATGTGGCAAAGCAATTCACTTTTTGTCCTGTATACAAAGTGTTGTGTTTGGGGCAAATCCAATACAACACATTACTGAGTACCACTCTCTATATTTTCAAGCATAGTGGTGGCTGCATCATGTTTTGGGTATGCTTGTAATCGTTAAGGACTGAGTTTTTCCAGGATAAAAAAGAAACAGAATGGAGCTAAGCACAGGCAAACCTGGTTTAGTCTGCTTTCCACCAGACACTGGGAGATTAATTCACCTTTCCGCAGGACAATAACCTTTAACACAAGGACAAATCTGCACTGGAGTTGCTTACCAAGAGGACAGTAAATATTCCTGAGTGACCAAGTTAGTTTTGACTTAAATCTGCTTGAAAATCTTGGTCAAGATCTGAAAATGGTTGTCTAGCAATGATCACCAACCAATTTGATAGAGCTTGAAGAGTTTTGAAAAGAATAATGGGCAAATGTTGCACAATCCAGATGTAGAAACCTCTTAGAGACTTGCCCAGAAAGACTCAAAGCTGTCATCGTTGCCAAAGGTGATTTTAGCATGAATTGACACAGGGGTTTGAAAACATATCTAATTTATCTATTCTCTCTTTTTAAATGCAATTTGTACTGCTACAGCATAAAATAAAAGCTGATTCCAAATTAAACAAACACCCCCACCAATAAAATATACATCCTTGTGTCTGCACTTGTCATCCCGGGACATCCCGTATCTCACCCCCTTTTTACTTTAGGTGTCCCAACTTTACTTTCTACAAAAAAAGTATTTTTGTCAGCAAGACGCATAAATTATTTCAGGATACACCCAATAACAATCGACAAAACTTTTTGGTGTTTTGTAACAGATGTTTCTTTCCATTCATCCAATGGCGCAAGCGCACAGTGTACTGTTTGGATGCTGGAATTATTTTGGAGTGGACAAACATGCACAGGTAGCCTACCTTTTGAAATGATTTGTTTGAATGTCACGATATAATCGCACTCTGCCTTTGTGGAACCCACAGTATGTGACATGCCCTATCCCATTCTAATCGGTGAGGGACGTGTGTGTGCGCGCGTGCATGTGCACATGTGTGTGTATTTGTGTGTGCGTGTGTGCGTTCATGTGCGTGTGTGTGTCGGGCTTTACTGGGTGCAGGGAGGTGATGGTACAGTGGTAGAGGTACAGTGGTCAACATGGTACAGATAAGAATAGGGTCAGCCTAAGGGTTAAGCCTATAGGCTAATTAAACTGGCTATTTGACTCAAGGCTTGGCATTGCCAGTCTGTTTGCCCTTCTCTATAGGATTGGGTGCTTGGGAGTGATTGTGTGTGTGTGTGCATGTACATTTGAGAGTGTGTGTATTTTACAAGTGTGTGTGTGTGACTGAACATCCCCCAGCCTCCTCCACCTCTCTATTTGGTGGTCTTGGGGTCTGGTTCCCTGTCTTCCCCTGTAATGAATAGGGATCTCTGCTGTAATGATCTGTGGCAGAGGGCCTTAATTAAATCAAGCCACATGGGATGCCCAGTAGCCTTTTCCATGGCTTGGCAGTTGGCCAAACGAGCATATGGTTATCTCTGCCATATCTCCTTCAGTCCACATACATGAACACACCTCCTTGCAGTACCAGGTAGACTAGATCAGAACTCCCTCTCTTTTCAAACAATTGTTAATGTTTATTTACCGAAAACATTTTGTAGCCGTGATTTAAAAGAGTAGCAGGCCCCAGTGTGTGGTGTAAAATACACAATGTAAGTGGTTCAAAGTTCGTTTTGAAAGCAAGAGACTGTGACAGTGGCTGTGAGAGGGTTTGATGATGCACTTATAGATTACAGAATGAGCCAGCTGCTTGTGTTCTGTTCTGTTCTAGTGGGCTATTCTCTCTCTGTTCTGTTCTGTTCTAGTGGGTTATTCTCTCTCTGTGCTGTTCTAGTGGGCTATTCTCTCTCTGTGCTGTTCTAGTGGGCTATTCTCTCTCTGTTCTGTTCTAGTGGGCTATTCTCTCTCTGTGCTGTTCTAGTGGGCTATTCTCTCTCTGTGCTGTTCTGTTCTAGTGGGTTATTCTCTCTGTGTGCTGTGCTGTGCTGTTCTAGTGGGCTATTCTCTCTCTGTGCTGTTCTAGTGGGCTATTCTCTCTCTGTGCTGTTCTAGTGGGCTATTCTCTCTCTGTTCTGTTCTAGTGGGCTATTCTCTCTCTGTGCTGTTCTAGTGGGCTATTCTCTCTCTGTTCTGTTCTAGTGGGCTATTCTCTCTCTGTGCTGTTCTAGTGGGCTATTCTCTCTCTGTTCTGTTCTAGTGGGCTATTCTCTCTCTGTGCTGTTCTAGTGGGCTATTCTCTCTCTGTGCTGTTCTGTTCTAGTGGGTTATTCTCTCTGTGTGCTGTGCTGTGCTGTTCTAGTGGGCTATTCTCTCTCTGTGCTGTTCTAGTGGGCTATTCTCTCTCTGTGCTGTTCTAGTGGGCTATTCTCTCTCTGTGCTGTTCTAGTGGGCTATTCTCTCTCTGTTCTGTTCTAGTGGGCTATTCTCTCTCTGTGCTGTTCTAGTGGGCTATTCTCTCTCTGTGCTGTTCTGTTCTAGTGGGTTATTCTCTCTGTGTGCTGTGCTGTGCTGTTCTAGTGGGCTATTCTCTCTCTGTGCTGTTCTAGTGGGCTATTCTCTCTCTGTGCTGTTCTAGTGGGCTATTCTCTCTGTGCTGTTCTAGTGGGCTATTCTCTCTCTGTGCTGTTCTAGTGGGCTATTCTCTCTCTGTGCTGTTCTAGTGGGCTATTCTCTCTCTGTGCTGTTCTAGTGGGCTATTCTCTCTCTGTGCTGTTCTAGTGGGCTATTCTCTCTCTGTGCTGTGCTGTTCTGGTGGGCTCCTATTCGGACGTGTTAACAGCAGTAGCGGCCCTGCTGCACTCAGCTGTTGAACTCCCCCCACCAAGAACCCCTCCACCTCTCTTCTACCCCCTGTGAACCCAACCACCCACCCCAACACCCTGTTACCACCTGTGAACTGAACCACCAGCACCCCAACCCCCTGTTACCCTATGGCCTCCCACAACAACGCTTCTATTGTGTCTCTGCCTCACATGGCATTGGGGGTGGCGAGAGTGTGTAGGGTTTCCTCAAATCACGTCTAAAGTGGAAACAGAAGCTAATGGACTTGTACCCACATATTGGAAGGGTGCGGAGATGTGAGCTATTCTGAAAGATGACAGGGGTGAGACGTTCTCTTTCCTTGAATTGTACTATCTGTATTTGCATTGGGAGATGTCAGGTGAAATAAGCAAGTCGAGAGTGAATTTAAACCTAGGGTTAAAAGCTTAGTGTTAAGTTTCTTTGTACTATAATTGTGCTACAGTACAACGGACACCATGACTGTAGCAAATAACTGAGGTCTACCCAGAACAGGATGATGTTCATTCAGTGGGGTTAAAAGTTACAGAACGTTCATAGAGATACTGATATGCCTCTGTCATGTAGACTAAGGACTCATGTCATCTCTATACAATATTTTCTATCTGTAACTGTCAATGTAGCACAACCACTATTTTTTCCAGAAAACTTTGACTGCGTTCCTATTGCCTCTAGGTCTACCCTTCTGCTCCCTACACTTTAACCTTCTCTACACTTCTACCCTTCTCTGCCCCGCTACACTTCTGCCCTTCTCTACACTTCTACCCTTCTCTGCCCCTCTCTATCCCTCTACATCCCTCTACCCTTCTCTGCACTTCTCTACACGTCATTTAGCAGACGCTCTTATCCAGAGCGACTTACAGTTAGTGAGTGCATACATTTTTTCATACTGGCCCCACGTGGGAATCGAACCCACAACCCTGGCGTTGCAAGCGCCATGCTCTACCAACTGAGCTACACTTCTACCCTTCTTTGCCCCTCTACACTTCTACCCTTTTATACTTCTACCCTGTACATTTCTACCCATCTGTACATTTATACCCATCTGTACATTTATACCCTTCTACAGTTCTACCCTTCTGTACACTTCTACCCTTCTCTACATGTCAACCCTTCTACACTTTTACCCCTCTAAACTTTACCCTTCTACACTTCTACCCTTCTCTACCCTTCTACCATTCTCTACCCATCTACAATTCTACCCATCTCTACACTTCTACGCTGCACTACCCTTCTACCCTTCTACCTTTCTACCCTTCTCTGCACTTCTACCCTTCTCTACACTTCTACCCTTCTACATTCCTGCCCTTCTCTACACATCTACCCTTCTCTACCCTTCTACACTTCTACCCTGTACAGTTCTACCCATCTGTACATTTCTACCCTTCTACACTTTTACCCTTCTCTGCACTTCTACACTTCAACCCTTCTACACTTCTATTCTTCTCTACCCCTCTACACTTCTACCTTTCTCTATACTTCTACCATTCTCTACCCTGTACATTTCTACCCATCTGTACATTTCTACCCTTCTACAGTTCTAACCTTCTCTGCACTTCTACACTTCTCTACACTTCTACCCTTCTCTACACGTCAACCCTGCTACACTTCTACCCTTATACACTTCTACCCTTCTACACTTCTCTACCTTTCTACCGATCTACACTTCTACCCTTCTCTACACTTCTACCCTTCTCTATATTTCTACCCTTCTACACTTCTATCCTTCTGAACTTCTACATTTCTACCCTTATCTAAATGTATACCCTTCTCTGCCCTTCTAAACTTCTACCCTTGTCTAAACTTCTACCCTTTTACACTTCTACCCTTCTCTACACTTCTACCCTTCTCTACACTTCTACCCTTCTCTACACTTCTACCCTTCTAGACTTCTAGACTTGTACACTTATACGCTTCTACACTTCACTTCTACCCTGCTACACTTCTACCCTTCTACATTTCTACTCTTCTACCCCTCTACACTTCTAACCTTCTCTATACTTCAACCCTTCTCTACCCTTTTAAGTTTCGACCCTTCTACACATCTACCCTTCTCTACACTTCTACCCTTTTCTAAACTTCTACACTTCTACTATTATCTACACATCTACCCTTCTCTACACTTCTACCCTTTTCTAAACTTCTACCCTTCTGTCCACTTCTACACTTCTTCACTTCCCTTCATACACCAATCCAACGGTTTTGAATTTCAAATAAAATAAAATTGTATTTGACATATGCGCCGATTACAATGGGTTTAGACTTTACCTTGAAATGCTGGCTTACAAGCCATTCACAACGATGCAGAGTAAGAATGCCTATTAATAAAAATATGCATTTAGCACGTTTGGGATTTCCGCATCACTGGGCATGTCACGGCTGGGTTTCCCTTTGTAATCCGTTATCGTCTGCAAGCCCTGCCACATACGACAAGTGTCAGAGCCGTCTTCCAAAAATTTTATTTTGCATGTTTGATGTCTCGTCGGAGGTCATAGCAGGCTTTCTTGTACGCGTCCATGTCTGTGTCCCTTTCCTTGAAAGCAGTAGCGCTAGCCTTTAGCCCAGCACGGATATTGCCTGTGAACCATGGTTTTTGGTTTGTGTGGGACGACTTCATCAATGCATTTATTGATGAAGCCTGTGACTGATGTGGTAAACTCCTCAATGCTATTGGATGAATCTCGGAACATAGCCTAATCTGTACTAGCAAAATAGTCTTGTAGCCTCGCGTCTGCTTCACCGGACCACTTCCGTATTGAGTGCGTCACTGGTACTTCCTGTTTGAGCTTTTGTTTGTAAACACGAAGCAGGAGAAGAGAGTTGTGGTCAGATTTGCCGAAGGGAGGACGATGGAGGGCCTTGTATGCATTTCTGTGGTTAAAATAAAAGTGGTCTAGAGTTTTACTGCCCCTAGTGGAACAGGAGACGTGTTGGTAAAATTGAGGTAGAACGGTGGAAGCTTGTGGGTCAATGGCTGATTAGTTGATGAGGTAGTACAGAGAGACTAGTATGCTACTACCCCCTTTGTCACGATCGTCGAACAGAGATGAGAACCAAGGCGCAGCGTTGCAGGCAAACATACTCTTTATTAGAGACACGATCAAAACCAACAAAACGAAAACGTGACAGTTCACGGTCTAACACAACAGACTAGAAACAAGATCCCACAAACTCTGTGGGGAAACAGGCTGCTAAAATATGGTTCTCAATCAGAGACAACAAGCAACAGCTGAATCACGTTGCCTCTGATTGAGAACCACACTGGCCAACATAGAACAACAATACTAGAAAGTGAAACCTAGAACAAAACACATAGACTTTACACACCCTGGCTCAACATATTAGAGTCCCCAGAGCCAGGGCGTGACAGTACCCCCCCCTAAAGGCGTGGACTCCGACCGCGCCCACCAAATACCACAGGGGAGGGACCGGGTGGGCACTCCGCTTAGGCGGCGGATCCGGCTCCGGGCCTGATCCCCGCTCCCTCTCCAACCCCCCAAAGTACCCCTGGTCCGGTCTGGCCCCGCTGGCCGGAGCTGGACTGCACACTGGTGGAGCGGATTGCTCCAGCTCCGGCGTGAAGCATCTGACCGGTGCCGGACCAGCCACCGGTGGAACAGGCACGGGCCGTGCCGGACTGACGACGCACACCACTGGCTTGGTGTGGGGAGCAGGAGCGAGCCGAGCCGGGCTGACGAAACGCACCACTGACTTGGTGCGGGGAGCAGGAGCGGGCCGGACCGGGCTGACGAAGCGCACCACTGACTTGGTGCGGGGAGCAGGAACGGGCCGTGCCGGGCTGACGAAGCGCACCACTGACTTGGTGCGGGGAGCAGGAACGGGCCGAGCTGGGCTGACGAAACGCACCACTGACTTGGTGCGGGGAGCAGGAATGGGCCGGACCGGGCTGACGACGCGCACCACTGACTTGGTGCGGGGAGCAGGAACGGGCCGTGCCGGGCTGACGAAGCGCACCACTGACTTGGTGCGGGGAGCAGGAACGGGCCGAGCTGGGCTGACGAAACGCACCACTGACTTGGTGCGGGGAGCAGGAATGGGCCGGACCGGGCTGACGACGCGCACCACTGACTTGGTGCGGGGAGCAGGAACGGGCCGGACAGGGCTGACGAAACGCACCACTGACTTGGTGCGGGGAGCAGGAATGGGCCGGACAGGGCTGACAAAACGCACCACTGACTTGGTGCGGGGAGCAGGAATGGGCCGAACTGGGCTGGCGACGCGCACCACAGACTTGGTGCGGGGAGCAGGAACAGGCCGGTCCGAGCTGGCGACGCGCACCGTAGACTTGGTGCGAGTGGCAGGAACAGGCCGGACCGTACTGGGAACACACACCACTGGCCCTACGTGGGGATCAGGAACAGGCCGGACCGGACTGGCAACACACGCCAGTACCTCTCGCCGTGCCTCTACATTCTCCTTCCCCCTGGTGACCAGTGACTCCCGTAACTTGGCGGCCTCCTGCTGCCCCGTCGTCCACGGCGTTAGCCCCCCCCTAAAATTTTTATGGGCTTCACTCCTACCCGTGGACCAGGTCTCCATGCTTCTCGCCAGCCTTTCGCCCTTCTGCCTCCACGTCAGGCCCCTCTCTTCCTCACATGGCTTGACCCAGTCGAGGAGGCGAAGGAGATCCGCTAGAGATCTCTTAGGCGCTGGCTCCTGGACTTGCTGCTTGGTCCAGTCTTGGTGGGATCTTCTGTCACGATCGTCGAACAGAGATGAGGACCAAGGCGCAGCGTTGCAGGCAAACATACTCTTTATTAGAGACACGATCAAAACCAACAAAACGAAAACGTGACAGTTCACGGTCTAACACAACAGACTAGAAACAAGATCCCACAAACTCTGTGGGGAAACAGGCTGCTAAAGTATGGTTCTCAATCAGAGACAACAAGCAACAGCTGAATCACGTTGCCTCTGATTGAGAACCACACTGGCCAACATAGAACAACAATACTAGAAAGTGAAACCTAGAACAAAACACATAGACTTTACACACCCTGGCTCAACATATTAGAGTCCCCAGAGCCAGGGCGTGA